TGTTATTTTATGTATATTTATATGACAAAATACTATATATATATAATTTTAAAAATTTTAAAATTAATTATCCGGTTCAGCAATTGACCCGGTGACCCGGCGGTTGAACCGATGACCCGGTGACCCGGAGACCTTCCCGGGTCAATCCCCGGGCCGGGTTTAAAAACTATGTATTTAACCCAAATTTTTCTATAAAACCAAATGAGGCTTCAAATATTGCTGGTTTGACAACCATTCGTGTATTGTGTGAGACACAAAATTTAACAGTTGGCAAATCCACAATACGGCTCTGTTATTATGTTTTATAATGCAAAGACAGAAATTAACCATGCCATATTTACTTTACCATCAATAGGCTCCACTAAGTGCACATAAACAAAATAAGAAAGACAGCTTACTTTCTTCTGATAAATGTTCAAGGTGAGAATCTCCAATTGGGAAAGACAGCAACGCAGTGTGGGAACTAGCCTTTGTACATACATATGATCAAGTGGATGGTCTCCAATGTTCACATAAACGTCACGAAGCATTGGAACATCCTCAAGCAAGAGGGATTCTATTTTATTATTAAGTATAAGCGTAGTAAGATTTGGAGCAGAAATTCGTAAGGATTTCAAATAATTGCATCTCCATATCTCCAAATGCTTTAACACAAGGGATGGTCCACAAACTTCAAGACTGGTCAATAATTGGGAGAAACAGACAACTATCTGCTCGAGTAATGGGCAGTAACGTAAGAGAAACTCCATAGCTTCACCAGAGACATTAATGTCCCTTAAGCACAACACTTTTAAGGTTTTATAGTTGAAAATTCCGCTATTTTCTCGTAGTAACTCTTGATGAAACACGTAAGATTCATCTGGGGGATCACAATGTGTAAAGTTCAATTCCAACTTTTCGATGTGCCTCTTAAAAGCAAATTCAACCCACTTCGTAATTGACGGTGATTGGGTTAAACTAAAACATATTCTTAATTCTTTCAAGCTGAATCCTCTGTGTGATTGGAGAACCGAATCCACCCACCTTACATACTTTTCCCTTTCCCTCTCTACCAAGCAAAAATCCTCGTCGTGGATAATCTGCTCCATGGAGCTATGGTCATCAAAGTTGAGATAAGAGGTGTAACTCCACAAGTATCTCCAGCGAGATGAAAGAACACTTGTGCGGCCAGCTTCTTTCAATGGGAGGGACGATAGGATAACAAGGAGAATGTCATCAGGCAGCAGACTTAGAACATCATCATCATGATATCTCTCAACACACTATCAAACAAACATGGCGATAACCCATTAAGAATGCAATAATCAACAACTTGCACGTGGAACTCAGTAAAAAAAAAAACATTTTCTTGCTAGTTAATTCTATAGGAAAAATAAAAAAACCTTAAGGTGAGATCCGACCCTCTTAAGATTGATTGGCCTTTGAATGAAAGCAGGAATGAGAGCCGATTCGAACCGGGACACACCAGAGACCCATGACCATATCGACCACATGAGAAACAAATATCCGGTAGGTTTTCATATGCCACTCTTTGCTGCTTACCACGAACGGTGAAACTAGCCCGCCGAGGTTGAGATTACCAGGTCTACCACAAGGAAAAACTACAAACCCAGCATTAATACACATAAAATAAATCTATGGAAATAATAAGTTAAAGCAATTGTTCACATCCAACCAATAAATTAAACAAGTTCTAAAACGCTGAAATGTATCCAATCATCAATGCGACAACTATTACAATTACAAGAACTCAATAAACAATAAGCAGTGCAAATAAGGATTTTTGAAACATAGAGCATTTGCCAAAACAGTTCTCTTTTTTGAAACATAGAGCATTTGAAACATAGTGCAAACAAGTTCATCGTTAAACGAAAGATCACAACATAAATCTTATCAAATTTCACTCTTTTTTGTTGCCGAACAGAAAATTCGATCTCACCTTATTCAGTCTGAAAAGTTCCATCTGTTTCGATCTCAACTCAAACTTCACCTTTTTGGGTCCGAACTAGGAATCAAGGTTCGAGCTGCAACAAAACCCTTTTATCTTATAAAGATAGGTTGGATGAGGTGAAGTGGGTGGATTGATTGGGTTGAAACGGGGTCAGGGTTCGGGATAGGATTGGCAATTTGGGCCAGCTCCGTTTTAGCCCGACCTGCCCTACACATGTCCACGGGCCTTGAACCGAGTATGTAATTTGACCGGGCCGGTTTCATGCCACCTAGATATATCTATATTTTTTTTTTTTGGGTAATTTTGTGTTTACCGTGTGATTTTAAAATAATTGTAATCCTACCATTGTGTTACATTTTATTGCATCTTTACCAATTAGATGTCATTTAATTGTGTATATTCAAAGATATCAGTTACCAACTAAAGGGAAACTGCTCTTTAAATTGCTCCTATAATTCAGTCACCGAATGCAATCACAATTAAAGAAGAAAAAAAATTGTTCAACAATGAAAGAACGACACTGAACACGGTCATGTCTGACCGGTTTGTGGATGTGCCTTCCACGGGAGAGGGCCGAAGCGGGGGCGGCGCCCGTTCACGGCGGAGATGGTCGTCGGCAGCACGTTCGAAATCCGCTTCTGAGCTGAAGAGGTCCCATTAGAACCCATCGGCGAAAAACAAAATGTTTAAAAGAAATTTGGGTGTCTGAAAAATCGAGTTACAGTTTGATATTGGTATATATACTGTATATTTGTCGTATATATTTCCTGCGGCGAAGCCTCTGATCTTCTTCTTATGGAAGTATGTTTATGTTGGTTTTTGGTATATATATTGTATATTTTTTGTATATATACTGTACATTTTTCGTACATATATTATTTATTGATTGTGTTGGTTTTTTAATAACTTTATATAGTATATGTTTGTGGTTTATATTTTGTATATATGTTTGGGAAAAAAAAAAAATATTTTGTATATATGTTGTATATTTATCCATAACCAATACTTACTTCTTTTGTTGTTCTCGTCGTCGGAAGTATAGCCTCAGCCGCAAGATATATATAAACATAAATCATCTATCCTATACAAAAGTGTAATATATACAAATCATAAAATCTTTATAATAAAAAAGGATATAAAATAACAAAGAATATACATATTATAAACATGTATCATAAACAAAAAGATATGTTAACAATTAAAACGCTGGTTGTTCATCATAGATTTGAGAAACACGAGCTCAACAAGCTAACAATTAGAACAACCCCACTTGGCCACTTCATACTAGAGAAGTTTGCATAAAACCCTAAAACTATGAATGAAGTCAAATGTAGTTCTCTCTTGTCCAAGGACTGAATCAATCTAAGCACGTTGTCACGCCCTTATTTACTTGATAGATGCGTGCGGACTAAGCCCCTCGTTGCGTCCTTCGCAAACTAGCTTAGTCAGCCTCACCGTACCTGGACCGTGCTCGGTGTGTGCGTAGTGATTGGCTAGAGAATATGGCAAAGATATGCAAGAGAGAAAGTAAGGAAAAGCTTGTACTATTATTCACACAAACTTAGTACATGAGAGCTTGTTGGTTGCTTGGATGAGTTGCAAATGAGGGGGCCTCTCTTATTTATAGGCACCACCTCCTCTAAAGAACCTTTTAGGTCCTACAAGGGTCTTGGGAGTTCTAGACCTTCCCAAGAATCCTACTTTATACACACAAGTCCTAGAGCCTTCTGCACAACTCTACAAGGCTCTAGGTTCATCAAGTCCCTACTACATGTATCCATACAACTCTAGGGCTCTCTAGAAGCTCCTAGACAAAAGTAAGCCTCTACTAAGGCATCTATGTACAATACTTAGGTGTGGTGCAGCCTAAGTCTTCAAAAGGTCGGACAGCCCCTGTGCGCGCGTTCGCGCGCGTTCTCCGTGCGTGCGTGTGTGCTCTGTGCTGCCGTGCGCGCGGGATGGCCCGAGTCTGCGTGGGTCAGGTGGTGCGGGGCGTTACAACGTGCTTCCTTCATTTTTTAAGGATGCTACATTACTCGAACGAAAACATATACTGAAAATATACTGTGTATACCCGCAAGATATACAGAATGCAAACTATTTATCAACGAATCAAGCACACCAATTGTTCGACAATTATCTTCTGAGAAGTTTTTGCATCTGTGAAAAAACTACAATAAACCTAAAAAAATATCAAGTTCAAAGTCGGAATCAATTTGTTTGCCAATCAATCTCGAGTTCGAAATCACTAGGCCTGTCCCAAAGCTACACAGACGCTGTAATCTTCGATCCTTCCGTCGTTACTTGCCAAAGCTTGTAAAAAGAGGAGTAGGGTCGCCAAGAGGCGAATTGTTTGGGTTACCAATTCGGGTGAGGAAAAACTACCGACGCCGCTTGAAGGTGATCTACCAATTACGGACGAAAGTTTGATTTTTGCCATGTTCTTTTCTTTTTTTTTTTTGCTTAAAAATTCTAGGATATATATATATATATATATATAACCTATTTATCAAAAATAGTAGCAAAAAAAGAAGTCAGCATTTAATCCAGCCCATAAATAGTAGTTTTATTATTTTTTTTTTCTTTAAAAATCATATAATTTAATTTATATATACGCTTTAATATAATCATACAATTTAATTTATAAAAATCATACAATTTAATTTTTCTTTTAAAAATACGCTTTAATATATTTATATATTTAGTACTTTTTGCAATAAATTCAAATAAAGTTTTACTTAGTTATCTGAACAATTTAAAAATTTTAATGTTTAAACTAATTTATAAACAATTTATAAGTTTATATTTTATTTAAATATGTAATTTTATTTAAAATAATTTTAAATGTAGCAGAATTTATTTAAAAAATTTTATCGATCCTACCAGTTCAACCGAATGGTGTTGAAGGATTCGATAGTAAATATTTTATTCATGCGAACTAGACTGGTTATAAACTGATTCTCGATCCATCCGTCCTAATTTAAAAATGATAAGCAAATTTTGATTAATTTATTTGTATGTTTAATTTTCACACAATCGTAATATTGTTTTCCGTGGGCAGTTGAGGAATAATGTGGGTAAGAAATCGTGAGCAGTTGACGAATAATGGAGGAGAAGGATTATTGCCATTCCTATTCCGAGCCTAACCACGTTTCAACCCAATCAATCCTTCCTTCACCTCCTTACATGCAACCTATCTTTATCTACAGACCAAATAAGGGAAATTAATCACCTTGATTCCAAGTTCGGACCCTAAAAGATCAAAATTTTCAGACCCAAAAAGGTGAAATTTGAGTTGAGATCGAAAAAGATGGTACTTTCGAGTCTGAATAAGGTGAGATCGTATGTTGTGATTTATGTTGTGATTTTTGTTGTGATTTTTTGTATTACCGAAGAGTGTGAGAATGTGTCGTATGAACTTGTTTGTTTGATCGACAGTGTCATTGTCTATCAACTTGAAAATCCTGTCTCCGATTTCAAAATTGAGTACTGTTTGGGCAGATAGATAGATAGATGCTCTATGTTTCAAAATTGAGTACTGTCATTGTCTGAATCCTTCTGAAAATAAATATTGCCTTTTGCCTTCATGTATTTTCATACATATTTGCTAGTTCTATTTTACATGAATTTGCATTATCAATCATAAAAGATTTTTTTTTTTTTAATAGAATTAACAAGAAAGATATGTTTTTTTAATGGGTTATCGCCATGTTCGTTTGATACTTGGTAGTGTGTTGAGAGATACCATGATGATGATGATCTTATAAGTCGGTTGCCTGACGACATTCTCATTGTGATCCTATATTCCCTCCCATTGAAAGAAGCTGGCCGCACAAGTGTTCTTTCATCTCGCTGGAGATACTTGTGGAGTTACACCTCTTATCTCTACTTTGATGACTATTGCTCCATGTATACGATTATCCACGACCCGGATTTTTTCTGTGTAGAGAGGGAAAGGGGAAAGTATGTAAGGTGGGTGGATTCGGTTCTCCAATCACACAGAGGATTCAGCTTGAAAGAATTAAGAATATGTTTTAGTTTAATCCAATCACCGTCAATTACAAAGTGGCTTGAATTTGCTTTTGAGAGGCACATCGAAAAGTTGGAATTGAACCTTTTACATGGTGATTATGTTCTTGGCGTATCTCAAATTTACGTGTTTCCTCAAGAGTTGTTACAGGAAAATAGCAGAATTTTCAACTATAAAACCATAAAAGAGTTGTGCTTACGCTGCGTTAATGTCTCTTGTGAAGCTATCGAGTTTCTCTTACGTTACTGCCCCTTACTCCAGCAGTTAGCTGTCTGCTTCTCCCAATTATTGTCCAGTCTTGAAGTTTGTGGACCATCCCTTGTGTTAAAGCATTTGAAGATATGGAACTGCAATTATTTGAAATCCTTATGAATTTCTGCTCCAAATCTTACTACGCTTATAGTTAATAATAAAATAGAAGCCCTCTTGCTTGAGGATGTTCCAATGCTTCGTGACGTTTATGTGACCTTTGGACACTTTCAGCCTGATCCTATGTATGTACAAAGGCTAGTTCCCGCACTGCTTTGCTGTCTTTCCCAATTGGAGATTCTCACCTTGAACATATATCAGAAGCAGGTAAGCTGTCTTTCTTATTTAGTTTATAATCACTTAGTGGAGCCTATTGATGGTAGAGTAAATATAGCATGGCTAATTTCTGACTTTGCATTATAAAACATAATATAGAGCCCTATTGCGGATTTGCCAACTGTTAAATTTGTTGGCTCGCAAAATACACGAATGGTTGTCAAACCGGCGATAGATTCATTGTTTGAAGCCTGGGTAAAATATGTACAAAAAACAAACTAAATAATTTTTAACGCCAACATCCTTTGAAATTTGCATTTCAATACTTTAGCATCCATTTTTTTTTTTTTAATAAATGTCTTGTGATGACCTTTTTTCCATATGCTTGGTTTTTTTTGCATTTTGGTTGTGTAAAATTTGCCAATAACCATTTTTGTATAAGAACAATATTATAAATTAGTTAGAGCTTGTTTGGAAACACTTCTCAAAAGTCTATTTGTATAAGTATTCATGTTTGGTGCTATTTTTAAGAATGGACTTATGGATAAGTTGTTTCTCCAAAAATTCCATTATATTGAAGTAAAGGATGAGGACTTCTGGAGATGTCTATTTTCCATAAGTCCATTCAAGATATGGATTTCGAAAAGTGCACCGAAACAATCACTTACGATAATCTTTTCGATAGTTTCTGACTGAACTATCTTTTGGCATGTCATGTAATCTTTTTGTTTAGAACCTGATATGGGACTATTTTTCTTTTTCGAAAGATATTGAAAGCTACAAATGTCCATAAATACATTTATGGGTATTGTGAGAAGTTGATTCATTTTTCAAAGAGTAACTCAAGTGGAAGGTATTTAAAGGAAGGCCAAGTGAGCCTGTATATGTAACTTACCACTGTATATGTAACTTAACTTACCAGTTAATATCTTTATTTATGGTTATTGTAGGAGCTTCTAACGACGCTCAATTTCCCTGTGATGCCTAAACTTAGGAAGTTGGTCTTCGTGAAACTTTTATTTGGAGTGGACTCGAGTCTTCTAGAACTAGCTTATTTTATCAAGGCATCTCCCAACTTGCAAGAATTTGAGTTAAAGGTGGTTGGTCTATCCCAAACATGTTTGAAAATATTATCCCTACAATCTCGTGTAAACTGGTCATCGGCTTTATGGCTTGTATATTTTTGTCTTAAATTTTATATGTTAGATTAATGTTTGACCTTTGGTTTATTTTCTCTTATATTTGCAGCAAGATTGGTTTAATGTTGAAAGGTCAAATAGAGAAATTCAGAAGGGAGTTAAGCAGTTTCCACTGCACCAGCACTTGAATGTTTTTCGGTTTTTAGGTTATTATGGTTGCCCGAGTGATGTTGAATTAGTCAACTACTTGTTGGAGAATTGTGTCGCGCTTAAGGAGATCATTGTTGATACCCAATCTGTGGGTTGTCCGACCTATGTGCCAGTTGATCCTGAAGAATTAAAATTGACCGAAATAGCAAAGAGTTATGCTAAGCAGCAGCTGGAGCCGCTAGTACCTAAGCACATTAAGTTATTTATATGTTAACCCTTTCTTTTTTGGTTTCTTGTTTAATACTCAAATTTTCTTGGTTATTTAGTTATTACTTATTATCGCTTTGTTGTGATGTAATATGTTTTTTTAGTACTATTGAAAATCTCGTCAGTTGTGGTATCTTGTATGTGAAATATATACTTTGCATCTGCTTATTTTGCGTTGCATGTTAGTGAGACCTTCAGACAATCCCTATTATAATTCATACCATTGAATGCTATTTTGTTAGGGGAATTCCTCCCCTCCTGTCGTTTGCATAATTATTCTTGTTACTGAATAACCTAAA